TTTACTGAGATATATATAATGTTTTAGAAGTTGACTACTACAGATTTTAGAATAAACTGCTAGGAAAACACTACTGCTGGATTCCTGAGCTCTGACATTATATGAATGCTATCACATCAGTTACTTTCTTGGGGTGTATCAGGAGGGGGGTGGTTAGTAGGTCGAGAGAGGTTCTCCTCCCCCTCTACTCTGCCCTGGTGAGACCGCATCTGGAATATCGTGTCCAGTTCTGGGCCCCTCAGTTCAAGAAGGACAGGGAACTGCTGGAGAGAGTCCAGCGTAGGGCTACAAAGATGATTAAGGGAGTGGAGCATCTTCCTTATGAGGAGCGGCTGAGGGAGCTGGGTCTCTTTAGTTTGCAGAAGAGGAGACTGAGGGGAGACCTCATTAATGTTTATAAAGGTATAAAGGGTGAGGGTCACGAGGATGGAGCCAGGCTCTTCTCGGTGACAAACAATGATAGGACAAGGGGTAACGGACACAAACTGGAACACAGGAGGTTCCACTTAAATTTGAGAAGAAACTTCTTCTCAGTGAGGGTGACAGAGCACTGGACCAGGCTGCCCAGAGAGGTTGTGGAGTCTCCTTCTCTGGAGCCATTCAAAACCCGCCTGGACGCCTTCCTGTGTAACCTCATCTGGGTGTTCCTGCTCCGGCAGGGGGATTGGACTGGATGAGCTTTTGAGGGCCCTTCCAATCCCTCACGTTCTGTGATTCACGCACGTTCTCAGCAACAATCAAGATAAGCTGGGACAGGAGGAACTGTAATACTTCAGACTGATCTTGTCACAACTGTGCGTAAGTACACACCATTAGGGCACTCCCTGTGAAGTCCCATGGAGTATCAGCAATGGAAAGAGAAAGGGCACAATGTTCAGCAGCTGCTCCTATTAGTTTTAAGCATTTTATGGGATATGGAAGTGACGAACAGTGAGATTAAGATAGATTAATCAGTAACAATAATTTGACTGCATAAACAAGAGCCTGAAGATGTTGTTGTCTGTTTTAGGAAACAGGATTCAGAGAATTGACATGATCATCTCATAAAATATTTAGTGAAATACAGAACTCACTAATTACAATATAATGATACAATATAATAATACTGGATTTGGCCTCGTATGCTTCAGTAGTTCTGTTAGCAGGAAAACCAGCTCCTTTGTGGGTCTTTCAAAAGAGAATTTCCTAACCATTCTGGAAGTATGGCAAAGTGACATATTTCTTATGAATTCAAACAAGAAAATTAGCACTCATAACAGAATTATACATTTTAATAGCAAATAATCTAATATTCACAGCTAGAAAAACAAGGACAAACTGACCAGCTGATGATTAAATCCAGGGCCCCATAATTACAAACAACTAACACCCAGAAGCAAACATTATGCATAAAAGAAGTAAAAAAAATAAATGCATCTGGCCCTTACAAGATCAGTGCAAGCTCTGAAGGACAGTTAAGTACAGCAAAACCTCATGATCAACAAACAACAAAGACTCTTTATAATCCTGTTCTTTAGGACAGCAGAAACTTAAGACCTTCAAAGCTGCTATCACAAGATTTTTTTAACAGTACAATTATCGCAGTCCTATAATGCAATCATATTTACACACTGCTGAAAGAAGAACATGTTGGGCTCTCTGTCCTCATAACCCTGTGGAAAGGCGCTCCAGAAAGCCTCGCAGAGTGGAAGTCTTCCAGAAAATCTTTACAGTACTAATTTGCACAAGCTCTCTTTTAAGCTAAATAATCATTTATTCCAAACTATTTTATGAAGAGCCATCGTGTACAAACATCTTAAGAAACATGTTTAGTAACAATGCCAAAACCCTACATTCCTATGCACAGTGTTACACGAAATCAGCAAATACTGTATTTGCCTCAATAGCACTACAAAACAAAGTGCCTTCAACTCCCAGAGCTACTTGAGGAAGAAATGTGCTTTACTTTTCTGTAGATGAGGTCTTTCATAATCTAAAAATGTTTTATAACTGTAACAGATGTAATACATCCATTATAATGACAAGTTAATTGTTTACTCCACACTTCTGAAACGGTAACATTGACTTTGTGAAATCCTGAATGCTGAGATCCAGTTCATCATAGTCCAGTAGCAGCAGAATGCTGCCTCCATGTACAGTGTATCCATTAATGGGACCACATTCGGCTATCAGATCAATATAATCATTAAAAACCCAACTCGCACAAATGAAATAGTTCTCTTTTATGAGAAAGAAAAGTTTAACTTTTTTTTTTCCTTTCTAAGAATTCTGGCCACCAGGAGGTGGTGTGTCTGGAAACATCAAGTAGTTTTTTTCCCCCCTACAGCTGAAATGCAAACTCCACCTGCAGTACTGGTGTGTTTATGCAAGACCGAGGCTCCACATTCTCTGCAAAATAAGATTATTTTGTCCATGTGATTTTGAGTGGAGCAATTCTAAGGAGCATAAGGATGACGATGTATACCTGAAAATTTAAATACAAAATGGGATCGACCTGAAGGTAGGAAAACTGAAATTCATATTGTCCGTTCAGCAAATGACCCTCCTCAGCTGCTAGATTTCACTCAATCGAATATTTCTCTGTAGTGGCCAGAGGCTTTTAAAAAATACCACACATAACAGCAATTATTGCTCTATTAACTATGTAAAATATGCTTAGTTATGATTTGTAAATAAATCTCTTAATTATTGACCAGCTGAGTGGCTAGGTTTGAAAGGGCTGTAGAATTTGAAAAAATGCTAGAGGCAGAAAGGAGGGTAAAATGAAATTAGGCAAAATAAAACTGACAAAAACTAGAGAAATTATGCTTGACTAGTTCTAGCAAAAAAGAAACCAGCAGAAACAGGGTTAATTCTAGCCTTATAAGGCTGTTCAGCAGCACTTCAACTGCACAAATTAGAACAACCCTGGGAATCTATAAAGCTTGTTTTATTGCCAAGGACATGCAGCAAGATCTGCATTTTGCTGTTGTAAACTACCCTTTATTTAAGACATTTTAAAACAGAACAGCTTTTTATATTATTTTTTTACTGCCGTATTGTCAACAGGTGGCATTCGCTGCAGCTTTGCACACCTAAATACAAGTTTTTCCTGACACAACAGCCGAAGTTGACACATCCATTAAGCGGGAACCCGGGCAAGCAGCAGCATTCTGCCGTCTGGAGGAAAATCAGCTCTGGAGAAAAGGAATTAAGGTAAAATAAAGTGTTTCACAATACACAGTTACCTGTAATGCTTGTAATTGCTTGGCTTTCGGTGGCCTTTCAGATGTAATTAAAATCTGACCACAGACTAACCTTTTAAAATCAATTGCTTAGACTGTTAACTTACCTTTCATTGTATTTAAAGCTGTTTACTGCCTTATTCAAAAATAAAAAGGATGTTACATAAAAGACAACCGTTCACGTCTGACTTCCAGAGCTGCCTGAAACAAACACCAAACCTTCTTCAAAGAAGTGTAATTTTGAATGAGTATTTTAGCATAAAGATTTGTATTATCAAAATGCTTCAAAACGTAGCAACAGCTACTGGGTACTTGTGCCTACTTCATTAAGAAATAAACGCTTTGGAACAGATATCTTTACCTATCTGCTGGCTACTTCTGATAAACTGAATACATTTAAGCAAGTTCATAGCTATATTTCTGGCTGAAAATATTCTAACACTCCTACTCCATTAGTGGTCTGCTCCTTTTTCTCCCCCAGACTGTACATTGGCAGGATTTAAGTCAGTAAAATGTGGAAATATGCCTCAATTTTAGGAGCAAGTAATTCAACTTTTAAAATATGTTTTAGTGTAATTAATTCAAGGTTTGAGTAGTAAGATGAAGATTAAAGCATTTTAAAATATTTAATATTTAACACAAAATACCCTGGGTTATAATTTTCTGTTTTATTTATTTGGGGTGTCTTTTGTTTGGTTGTTTTCTTTTAAATAAACTTCTAGCAATGCTTTAAGTCCATAGCATTCAACATTTATAAGTAAACAAATCACATAACTGTTATTTTCCATTCCTATCCGGAAGTCAGTGCAACATAATTAATCACAAAGAAAAGCAAATTGAGTATAATAATGTTGGTGTAAATCAATATGCTGCTTGTATTACCTTCATTTCTAAAATTTGCCTTTTCCTTTCCACTGAAAGCAGAAGGAACCAACTGCTTTTCATCTCCATTGCTTTCTGACCTACAGACTCTGCTACTTAGTAGCCTTACAAGCTGATGACTAAATAAATATATATTTTTAATATATACCTATAAATAAAAAAAATAAAGGTTTTCTTCATTGGGCTAAACTCACTCATCTGATTTTCTACATTTTCCAATACTGAATCCCTGAAGGGTACACAAAATTTTAAGAGACCTGCCCTCACAATAGATTATCAGCTAGAACAAATTTAAATTCTTTTAACTGAGCCTTTGTGTGTATATATATATTTATATATATATATAGTCAAACATGATGCTTCCTACAGCCTCAGCTGCATACGTTAAGTTAGCAGAAGCATATGGTACGTGGTACAATGCTGGAATATAAGATTAATGGTTTTCCATTTTCAAATTGCAGGTCCAAGGATGTTCATTGATTATTAAAAGAAAACAAATGGAGCTAAAATTCTACTACCTTCCAACCTGCATGAGGAAACAGTGTTGATGAAAAGCTTTTAATAAAGTGAGCCAAGTACCATAATGGTAAAAAGATTCCTACATGATCTTAAGGCATAGAGGAACTGCAAACTCTCTCATTTGCAATGTATATAGCGTCCTGTAAAAAGAAGAAAAAAAAAATCTGCTGTTTGTACTGTTATGTTACAGTCATTTTTAATTCTTATTAATTTGACTTCTAAAGAATTTTGATTTCCTACACAAAAGTGAACATCTTTTTCCATTCCAGTCAAAATGCTTACTACGAACTTAGTTGAAAACAATCAAAAATCTGATTTTTTTTGCATTATCACAAAACTGTGAGTACTAATATCTTTTCTGCAGATATTTTAACCATGGAAACTTACTCTGCCTCACTGTCCCCCGTTGTATGTAACAGCACAACTTTTAACCTAAATGGATCACATTTGTGTAACGAAAGCCTATCTTCTAGGTTAGCTGATAAATCAGAACACCAACAATATGTTATTGGTCTTTTCTTATCATGTCTTTACACAATATTCCTTTTTCCTATTGGTTTTGTAGGAAACATTCTGATACTGGTTGTGAACATAAGCTTTCGTGAAAAAATGACCATTCCAGACCTTTACTTCATAAATCTTGCCGTAGCCGATCTCATTTTAGTTGCCGATTCTCTCATTGAGGTTTTTAATCTTGACGAAAAGTATTATGATATCACTATTATTTGTACCTTTATGTCTTTGTTCCTTCAGATCAACATGTATAGCAGCATTTTCTTTCTGACATGGATGAGTTTTGACAGATACCTAGCACTGGCAAAAGTAATGAGGTCCAACATATTTCGCACTATGCAACACGCTAGATTAAGCTGTGGTCTCATATGGATGGCGTCTATTTCTGCAGCACTAGTCCCATTTACAGCCGTGCATTTACAGCACACCGGAGAGGTCTATTTTTGTTTTGCAGATGTAAAAGAAATCCAGTGGCTAGAAATAACCTTGGGGTTCATTATCCCCTTCGTGATCATCGGTCTTTGTTACTCATTAATTGTCCGAGTTCTCATAAGAGCACACAAACACAGAAGTCTTCGGTTGCGGCGACAAAAGGCTCTTCGAATGATTTTTGTTGTTGTCTTGGTTTTCTTTATCTGCTGGCTACCCGAAAACGTCTTCATTAGCGTTCAACTCCTTCAAATGAAAAGCGAGCCTGTCTCTTCGAGCAGCCCATCCTTCAGACATGATTACCCTTTAACAGGACATATTGTGAACCTGGCAGCTTTTTCTAATAGCTGTTTGAACCCCTTAATTTACAGTTTTCTAGGGGAAACCTTCAGAGACAAACTGCGACTGTACATTGAACAGAAAACCAAAATGTCAACGTTACATCGCTTTTGTCAGGCTGCATTAACATCTGTCATTCCTGACAGTAACGAGCAATCAGAAGTCTGATTTAGTAGTGGCTGTATAAAACATGACTGTGAAGTTGTGCAAATAGTGAACAAAATGCTTGCTACTAACAGAAAAATTGCATTTGTGTATATACATATTCTATCACTCTACTGAGTATTGAAGGTTTATATTCAAAATGTTTTTATGACAAAATTTAATGTAGAAGAATGTTGTAGTCAGATTTATATTTAATTTTGAAAAGGATTATTAAAAGATGAGCACTGAAGGAGCTTTATTTTGTATTAGATATGTATGAATGACAATATAGGAGAAAATTTTATCAAGTTAGGAAGAATCTAGATGTAACCTCATTATCAGAGATGCTACTTTGCTGGTGTATATATAGTACTTCCACTGAAATAATGAAGCTGCCATAACAGTGGGAAAAAATCATTACAATGTATTGATGTGAAGATGTAGAAAACATTGATTTTTACATTCAAATATGTTAAGATAGATGACTTCGCTTAGAAGAACTACCCAGTACTATCGTCACTGTATTCTAGCATGTCTTCCATTATTAACTTTCTTTAATCTTAATATAATCTAGCATGGTGGTGAGGTTTTGTCTCATAAATGTGATCTACTGTTTACATCAGTACTTGATCAAAACTGAAATCATCTGTAACTATATTGCTCATCTCAAAGAACTTCACAGAAGCAAAATGTAATGCTTCATGCTGACTTTTAGAGATTGGCCAAGACAATCTTTCCCAGGACAGACATAATTGGGCCTTTTGTCAAAAGTGCCAGTGCACATACACGCACGTTCACATCTGCCTTCAGATTTAAACGCACACGGTCTCTTTACATTCATTAGGTCTATTTCGATTGCCAGGAAAAAATGCTGTGGCTTTAAAAAACAAACAAACAAAAAAACCCCAAACACCAACACAACAGTTTCTGCTAAAGAGTATAAGAATTGCTTATGAAAACGACAGAAGCCTCAGTTTTTAGAAAGTAGTAACTTCTGTAATGGGGAGTGTGCTTAACTGTCATCACATCTGTACTTCGTGCATCATGTATCCCACCTCCAGAAACCACTGGCCTTTCAAGATTAAGATGCATGTTGGTGGCTTTGTTCACTTGAACATTAATTCTACTAAGAAAACAAATGTTAGCACCACATACTTGAAAACAATAGGTTTTAATTTCCAGTAGAAAATAATTGGTTTTTAAATCTGATTTGTTTAGCACAGGCTACTGCTGAACTTGTACAGAGGAAGACACAAAGTTCCTAGGGATTAGCGTGCAAGATCATTAAAACATCGCTTGCTGCATCTCTGAAGTGAACAAACTCATTTCACCTCTGTGCTCATTGACTTAAGCACCAGAACTCTGCAGAATAAGATGCTTTGTCCTATTTTCAAATGTCATATATGAATTAATTAGCACATGAACAGATTTTAAAGGATTTTGAAACACAGACACTTAAAACAATGACTAAAGTTACTCAGCAATAAACAGTGAAAACAACAATTCCACTCATATTTCTCACGAAATACTTAAGTTTCCTAGTAGAAACTTTGGCCACAAAAGACTTGACCTATAAACAGAAAGGCCACAAGATGATGGCTGAATTTGAAATAGACAGTTAAGATATTTCTGCAGCTGAAACAGGAACTGCAGGGTGGAGTTGGTGGCAACTGCTGATTATTTGCAAGTGACTGCTAACCACAGCCTAAGGAAAAATGTCATTTAGTCACATCTTCCCTGTACACCACCAAATATATCTTTGCTCAAGGCAGATGCCAGCATTGCCATGCCTTCTCTGCACAGAACAAGCTGTTAAACAACACTTAGCAAGAAATCTCACACCACTGAGCTACACCACGCATAGCCCTTTTCCCTCATTATTTTCACTTGTGGAATTAGCCACAATTACTCATAACCTATCAACTGCCAATGTACTTTAAGCACACCTTGAAACACAGCTATGGCAGACAACACAGAACTGCAGGAACAGATAATTGTCTTGGCAATGCAATTCCATGAAGCAGGACACATCTTCTGAGCTTACAGATCCATTAGGATTGTGTAAACTCGACACTTACCATGAATAAATAACTTATTTGGGGTTACAGGAATACACTTTCCCAATTGTAGTTGCTGCTTTTTTTTTTTCTATAGGAATATAGGAATCTGATTTTTGATCAAGGCTATGGTAGAAGCCCTTTCATCACCACTGTAGATAACAAATCTAAGTGTCTTTGCGCAAAAGCTTATAATAATAAACTGACAGTAATAGCAAATGCCTGTTCATACATACTGTGAAATAGTTTGTTTCTACATGATCATATTCAGTAATGTTCTGACAGTGAAATCTAGGAAAGATCAGATTACCATAGCATGAAGAAAACGATATTTACACAACCTGAAGCAACCTATTGTGCATTTAAAACCAAATTACAAATCTAAACTACCTGATGAACATCCTACTGTTCATATTTTGGTACCGGCTTATGATCTGTGCCTGAAATGATTAAATTTAAACATACTACTTACCTTAAATAAATAAAAAGTCCACTTCCAGGTGAAAGAATGGCAAACTTCTTCCCAAAACTTTTTTTTTTAAACAGCAGCTATTCACAGAAATGCCATACATCCTTCATTTATATATACAACGTACTTTCTGCTGTTCATAATCTTGCAGTAACTCCTTACCATGGTTTATCCATGAACCAAAAGACCTGTGGCTTTATGGAGTTTTCTTTAAAATTAAAGAGCATGATCATCAGTAAACAAAACCTTTTCTGGAGCGTAGGGAAAAAGGGAAATAAGAGTAAGAATTTTGATATAACTACTACTACACTTAACGTTTCTGTCAGGTCTCTCAAATTGTTTAACTTAAGGAAAGGATTCCATATGCCTTTCCAAAATGCTAGACTGATGACAACTACGAGATTTAAAAACTTGTTTATCACAGATGCTTACAGGTTTTGCTATCATGGTCTATACCAAGTTTCCAGACAAGAAAAGTCTAGTATTAGGAAGAGCACACAGAAAAAAAGGGAAAAATAAAAAGAAACCAAAGAATACCTAAAATGGTTAACTGCTTCTGAAAATAGTACCTTAACACAAAAACAGCTTGAATGCACAGACTCATTACTGAATATATAGAAATAAAATTAATCCAAACAGCACCAATCTGAACCTGATGCAACAGAAAGCCAGTCTTCCCTTAGTTGTGTAGACAAGCATGAGAAAAATACGTTATCTGAGAGCATTTTAACATGTTACGGACATGGTGTAACTTTGCATCCTTTTAACAGTTTTAGGATACACTAGAAAAAGCAAAGTCAGTCGGTCTGAAGTAGCAGTTCGGTTAATTTATGGAAAGCATTACATGAGGTGAGGGCATGTGACAGGCAGCTTGAATCAATGAGTCAGGCGATTCCAGATTGTGGGCAAGACTCACACAATACAGGCAAGAGGCAAGAAAAGTCACCCCTCCCTCTCCCTTTCTGCTCCACAGCAAGTCAGAAGACTGGCATTCAGAACAGTCCATCCCCCAATGCCAAAAGACAACACGCACTATACATTCTTTTAAAAGCAAAAATCAGAATTCTTAAAGTATGGCTTTCTCCAATATTGTTTCTATCAAGTGAAAAAGATACAGGTTCATCTTAGAGTCCTCCAGTGTAATCTGATGTTTACATTATTCATTTAAAATTACTTACCGGGCATATAAAATCCATTCTACTAAACTTGCAAATAGACAAGCTTTAAAAAAACAATCACAAAGTTTTAACAAGAAAATGCTTTTAAAATTTCAGACTAAGTATCTGTGTTTTGAACAAAATTCACTGGCTGTACAGTGTAGGCTCTGATCTTTTTTCCAGCCATCAAGTTATGTTAGAAGCTAACTGATTTTTTTCCTGGGTAAGGATTTTGCTGTATTCTTTCAGCTGTTTCTTAAGATTGCAAAAGGGAAAAGGTTGTCTGGACAATTTTGAATGGTTAGGATTGTCATATAAGAAATGTGTTAAAGTGGTTTACTCTAAGTAAAAGTATGTAAAGTTCAACCCTGATTGCCATTTAATTCCATTTGAAGTTGAATCTGCATAAGCAGGAAAAACAAGCGAGTGTATGAAGAAGGCAGGTTTGAATTTTAATAGCTGTTCATGAAGGTGAACCAATGAATTAAATTGATTTTGACTGAAAACAACAAAGATAAGGGTTTGATTTTAATTTAAGGGACAGTATCCTTCCCTTCCACTCCAAAACTCTTATCTTACCCATTCAGACCATGAGGCAGATATTTAAAATTTTCATCATAGAAGAGCATAGGACCAAATTGTTTAATTCAATTGACTGAATTATATCTTTGCAATAGAAGTTTATGCTCCCATTACCAATTACAGCAGCCCATCAGCACAGTTAGACCTAGCCATTCCTCCTTCAGAGACTGTTTACATTAAGAAATTCCTATCATTTTCACATTCTGTTTAAGAAATGTCGCCAAGAAACCATTTGGAATGGTTGGAACCATTGGAATCACACTTCATCTTTTTTCTGTTAAATCTGCAGCAACAGATGATAGGAAACAAGTCATTTTTAAGACATGCCTACAGACCATCTTTTCTGTATGCTCTTAAACTCTGCTGCCAGGGAAGCACATTGTGGTATGTGCCCTGTGTTGTGTTTTAAAGGAAAACACTCTGGATTTGAGAATCTGAACACCCTCCATTCATATTTATAATTTAGGTGTCCTTTCTTTAACAGTATTGTCCAAACTATTTACTCCACGTTGACATATGATACACCAAACTTTTAGCCTTTGGCTTCTTTTTAGACTTCCATTCCATCATACGGTAGCGCGACACAGCCAGGAGCTAAGAATAAACAGTTGCATGCTGAGCCAGCCACCCAAAATGACAAAAAAGCAACGCCTTCTCGGGGCTTTAGACAGTGCAGGATCAGCTCTTTACTTTCACCTTCATCTCTAACATGCTAATTCAGTTATTTTACATACATCCAGTGAATTCCACTACAAAATT